ATGAATACAAGCTAGAGACTTGTTACCTTCATGCTGGGTAATTATCTTAAGTTTCATCTCCAAAGTAATTGCTTTCACACCATCATAAAGTCGAACCATCATGAGTCGAGGAGCACTTGCATATGTACACTGAAAGCCACATGTTTTGGTGTATAAACACTGAGAGGTGTATGTCTCTCAGTGTATGTATATACACTGAAAGATATGTGTCTCAGTGTATATACACTGAAAGATGTGTCTCAGTGTATATACACTGAAAGGTGTATATCTCAGTGTATATACAACAACAGTTTATTTTAACCACTATTTTAGGCATTAAATTATCCTTAGGTAGTGAACAGGTTACATGCAGCCTTAATGACCCCGTGTAGCCGATTCTTTTAACCCCATTAACTTCAGCTCTATGTGAAAAAACAATTATGTACAGTTCAGTACATTTATAAAAGAAACGTTTCACCATGAGTAGCTTCTTCAGAACTATGAACAATTATGTATAATGGCAAGAGTAGGTGGTGGTGGTTGTGGTGGTATTGACAATGACAATAACAAGTTCATTTTAGCATGATATATGTTTGTACAAAGGAGTATAACAATTTGGTGAACATGCAAAAAGCACCTTTATATGCAGAGCATTTTGGGCAAACTTAAGACTAACTTAAGATTAATAAGGCAATTATAGTGCAGTAATTTTACATACGGTCATTAGGTGAGTTGCAATGAATACAAGAAAATTGAATATTCAACTATTTCATGCTATGTAACTTTAGTAGTTCAGTAGAAAATAACTACAGTTTTGATATAGTTTATAAAAAATACAGTATTACAATTTAGCACAGTTTAAAATAATGAAGTTGAAAGAGTACTAGTACATGTACTACTAGTAGTGAAGTTGACATTGACAGGTCTTTCCCAGCTTAACCCAACACATCTCACCACCACCCTCATGGCTTTCCACCTGACTACTGCCACTATATATACAGTGGACCCCCGGTTTACGATGTTATTTCATTCCAGAAGTATGTTCAGGTGCCATTACTGAACGAATTTGTTCCCATAAGGAATATTGTGAATTAGATTAGTCCATTTCTGACCCCCAAACATACACGTACAAACGCACTTACATAAATACACTTACATAATTGGTCGCATTGGGAGCTGATCGTAAAGCGGGGGTCCACTGTATTCACTTCTTGGTTATCACTGTATTAAGACTGAAGAAGCTATACGTTGCAAAACACTCCCTCCAATATATGTCCTGAACTACATAAATGTTTTATTCCATGTCTTGTCAGTATCACCGGATCATTTTTCAACCTCATCTTTAGCATATCCATGATTGAAAATAGTTGTCACTTTAAATAACAAAAAGGCACAATACCGTGACTGGAACGATACACAAATAACCCGCACATAAAAGAGAGAATCTTACGACGACGTTTCGGTCCGACTTGGACCATTGACAAAGTCACACTAGTGTGACTTTGTCAATGGTCCAAGTCGGACCGAAACGTCGTCGTAAGCTTCTCTCTTTTATGTGCGGGTTATTTGTGTATAGTTGTCACTTTATGTATACAGGCCAGTGCTTTGCCTCATGTTATGGATACACAAGTGCCAACACTATGGAACAAAAACATACAATCGTCTCTGCAAATTTTTCGAAGAGGGGGATTACATTCCCAGAGGTTATGTCAAAATTAGAAATTATGAATAATGATTAATTAAGTCTGTATAGCAATTTTTATTTTAGATTTGAGTTCAGTTTCTGTTTTAGAGAGCATATTTTTATAATATATCACAGTGTTTCAGAGAGAATGTCTCTGTAATATATCAGTGTTTCAGAGAGTATGTCTCTGTAATATATCAGTGTTTCAGAGAGAATGTCTCTGTAATATATCAGTGTTTCAGAGAGTATGTCTCTGAAACATATCACAGTGTTTCAGAGAGTATGTCTCTGTAATATATCAGTGTTTCAGAGAGTATGTCTCTGTAATATATCAGTGTTTTTAGAGAGTATGTCTCTGTAATATATCAGTGTTTCAGAGAGTATGTCTCTGTAATATATCAGTGTTTCAGAGAGTATGTCTCTGTAATATATCAGTGTTTCAGAGAGTATGTCTCTGTAATATATCAGTGTTTCAGAGAGTATGTCTCTGTAATATATCAGTGTTTCAGAGAGTATGTCTCTGTAATATATCACAGTGTTTCAGAGAGTATGTCTCTGTAATATATCAGTGTTTCAGAGAGTATGTCTCTGTAATATATCAGTGTTTCAGAGAGTATGTCTCTGTAATATATCAGTGTTTCAGAGAGTATGTCTCTGTAATATATCAGTGTTTCAGAGAGTATGTCTCTGTAATATATCAGTGTTTCAGAGAGTATGTCTCTGTAATATATCAGTGTTTCAGAGAGTATGTCTCTGTAATATATCAGTGTTTCAGAGAGTATGTCTCTGTAATATATCAGTGTTTCAGAGAGTATGTTCTGTAATATATCAGTGTTTCAGAGAGTATGTCTCTGTAATTTTATCAGTGTTTCAGAGAGTATGTCTCTGTAATATATCAGTGTTTCAGAGAGTATGTCTCTGTAATATATCAGTGTTTCAGAGAGTATGTCTCTGTAATATTTATCAGTGTTTCAGAGAGTATGTCTCTGTAATATATCAGTGTTTCAGAGAGTATGTCTCTGTAATATTCAGTGTTTCAGAGAGTATGTCTCTGTAATATATCACAGTGTTTCAGAGAGTATGTCTCTGTAATATATCAGTGTTTCAGAGAGTATGTCTCTGTATATATCAGTGTTTCAGAGAGTATGTCTCTGTAATATATCAGTGTTTCAGAGAGTATGTCTCTGTAATATTCAGTGTTTCAGAGAGTATGTCTCTGTAATATATCGTGTTTCAGAGAGTATGTCTCTGTAATATATCAGTGTTTCAGAGAGTATGTCTCTGTAATATATCACAGTGTTTCAGAGAGTATGTCTCTGTAATATATCAGTGTTTCAGAGAGTATGTCTCTGTAATATATCAGTGTTTCAGAGAGTATGTCTCTGTAATATATCAGTGTTTCAGAGAGTATGTCTCTGTAATATATCAGTGTTTCAGAGAGTATGTCTCTGTAATATATCAGTGTTTCAGAGAGTATGTCTCTGTAATATATCAGTGTTTCAGAGAGTATGTCTCTGTAATATATCACAGTGTTTCAGAGAGTATGTCTCTGTAATATATCACAGTGTTTCAGAGAGTATGTCTCTGTAATATATCAGTGTTTCAGAGAGTATGTCTCTGTAATATATCAGTGTTTCAGAGAGTATGTCTCTGTAATATATCAGTGTTTCAGAGAGTATGTCTCTGTAATATATCAGTGTTTCAGAGAGTATGTCTCTGTAATATATCACAGTGTTTCAGAGAGTATGTCTCTGTAATATATCAGTGTTTCAGAGAGTATGTCTCTGTAATATATCAGTGTTTCAGAGAGTATGTCTCTGTAATATATCAGTGTTTCAGAGAGTATGTCTCTGTAATATATCACTCTAATCTGCTTAATATTTACATTCATAAAAATAATGACCAGAATCAACACAGTTGGGAGTGGGAAAACAAATGATCAGGAAAAATTGGGATAGTTGAATCAATTGGCCAATTTCCATAAGTAAAAGCAATGTTCAGTCAAAACCCATGAATAATGAAACTGGCCATAATAAGGTGACCTAAAAAACAAAAACAAAAGTTTCTCCTTTAAAATTTAGTATAATTTATACAGGAGAAGGAGTTACTAGCCCAGGATAACCAAAAAAAAAAAAAGTGACTTACTTGCATTGGGAAGAACCCGGAAATTTGGAGAGACAACTGTATGTGCAAAGCAAGCATTTATTCTGACAACATTTTGCTCTGTTTAAGAATTTATCAGAGTTTAAGTAGACTTGACAGAGCTATAGAGTAGAGCTCTGTCATAATAAAAGCTTGTTCAACATGTGTTTTTTACTCTAGCTCATGTTATGTTGTATTTATCGAATGTATATCAAAGGTATTAGAGTGAGTCCTCTTATAAAAGCTCCTCTATAGATTGTAATATTTTGTAAATGTGATTGCAAAGAGTAGTCTATCAAAATTTGAAGGTGCTTATGAAGTTTTTCATAGTTTGTGGTAATCAGTTTTTCTTGCACTTTTTCAATTGCATGTATAATAATAATAATTTATTTCTTTTCTACAGTATACATACAGGTAATTTATTTGTAATAAAATATTGTTTGGCACAAAAGAAATCCAGTAGCATGTTAAGCATTTCAGGTAGACTAATCATAATTCTTAAAGACTACTTAAGACTAGACTTAGGTTATTATTTAGTTTTTAAATGCATCGTGTAGAGGAGCTTTATAAGGGTGATGACTGTATATTCCGACAAGTACAGTGGTACCTCGAATTTTGAACAGCTCCCAACTTGAACAGTTATGTAAGTGTATTTTTGTAAGAGTATGTTTGGGGGTCTGAAACAGACTAATCTAATTTACATTATTCTTTACGAGAACAAATTCGTTCGGTAACGGAACTGGAACGGCCTTCTGGAGCGAATTATGGCCGAAATTCGGGGTACCACTGTATATTCATAATGCACAACATGCAGTTTATGGCATTTTTTTGAAATAATGAAGAATAAAAAGGCACAACACCATGTCTGGAATAATGCACAAATAACCTGCACTTAGACTAAAACCTATGGCAAGGTTTCAATCCGATGTCGGACTGAAACCTATGGCAAGGTTTTAATCTGATGTCGGGCTGAAACCTATGGCAAGGTTTCAGTCCGATGTCAGACTGAAACCTATGGCAAGGTTTCAATCCGATGTCGGACTGAAACCTCGCCATGAGTTTCATCCTATGTGCAGGTTATTTGTGTATTGAGACAAGAGTTCTTCCATCAGGAACTTGATCAAGTCTTTGGTACCACATCAGGTTTCTGGTGAATGAAATGTTTTCTCAATAAAATGCATTTTGTGTTTTGCAGCCTCTCCTCACTTAGCGACGTACTCGTTTACCGACAACTTGGACTTACGATAGGTCTCTGACCAGTATGCATACCTAAATAATGTATACTAAAGCTGATTTCCTCTATTTTGTTTACTACAATATACATACACCACTGATTAAACATTTAAAAATATACCAGAAATGTTATAAATGGTGCGAGGTGACATTAAAACAATATTAAAGATGGTTGACACACACCTACTACCATTATAGTATGCTCCTCGCTTAGCAAAGAATTCGTTTACCGATGTGGTCTTAGGAACGGAACTCCGTTGTTAAGTGAGGAGAGGCTGTATTAATATGCATTGATTGAAATTCAGCGCTGACTTGTGTAGCTGAATATAATCTGAGTTCTGAATGGGGTTCACCATAGATTAGGGTTAATACGGTAGATCATCTATTATTCAACGGCCAATTGTTCTACATCCAGCATTATACGGTGATTTTCTTCAATTCTGAATCTAAAATGATAATGCCAGGGAAAAGGAATGTGCAAAAGAAAGTGACCATAGACATTGATGTGATCATACATTGCTGACACACATTATTTACCATGTCTGGTGTTGCATGCCTTATGTGATCATTTTCCAGACTTTGCACTCATTGTTTACCATGTCTGATGTTGCAAGCTTCAGGTGATTGTTTTCCAGACTTTCTACAACTTAAACCTCTTGTGGTTAGGTACACCCTCATCTTGTGGTTAGGTACACCCTCATCTTGTGGTTAGGTACAACCTCATCTCCAAAGATGTCAGATAATAAATGATCTTCTGTGTAGTGTAAAGTATGCTCTTTGACGCGTATTTGGAAGGTCCGATTTTGCTGATTCAGTACAATGAGCCCTTAATTTAATGGATAAGCAGTAATGGGGAATGCAGTGAATGGAGAGAGTGTTGTTATGTCGTGATTATGACAGTAACACAATACAATACAAATTTATTTCTTTTCTGCGGTATACAAAATGTTGTTTATGTGTGATAAAATATTGTTAGGCACAGCCGATTTTGCCCTACATTTCTAAAGTCTGTTAAATCAAAGATTTACTTTTTTTTTTTCAACAAACCAGCTGTATCCCGCCGAGGCAGGGTGACCCAAAAAGAAAAACGAAAATTTTTCCTTTTTAAATTTGGTAATTTTTTTTTTTTTTTTTTTTAACAAGTCAGCCATCGGGGTTACTAGCCTCTTGCTTCCGGCATTTTAGTCGCCTCTTAAGACACGCATGACTTACAGAGAAAGAATTCTGTTCCACTTCCCCATGAAGAAAAGATTTACTGTACTTGGTTCTTGTAAATTTCAGTGTTCAAGTTATTAGAATTATTTTAGAAAATACAAATACAGTGGACCCCCGGTTTACGATCACCTCCCAATGTGACCAATTATGTAAGTGTATTTATGTAAGTGCGTTTGTACGTGTATGTTTGGGGGTCTGAAATGGACTAATCTAATTCACAATACAGTGGACCCCCGGTTAACGATATTTTTTCACTCCAGAAGTATGTTCAGGTGCCAGTACTGACCGAATTTGTTCCCATAAGAAATATTGTGAAGTAGATTAGTCCATTTCAGACCCCCAAACATACACGTACAAACGCACTTACATAAATACACTTACATAATTGGTCGCATTCGAGGTGAATCGTTATGCGGGGGTCCACTGTATTCCTTATGGGAACAAATTCGTTCAGTACTGGCACCTGAACATACTTCTGGAATGAAATAATATCGTAAACCGGGGGTCCACTGTATTGGTCTATACAGAAGACTAATTTAGCATGGTACATTAGTAACGTTTTTGAAAATATGCTGTTGGTAATTATAATCATTTCAGTAAATTATATTGTGAATCACATAACTGAAAATTGTCATAATATTTTACAGTTTAGTTAAAAAAATAATAAACATTTAAGATGATCTGAAATTTTAGGATAAATAAAAAGTTAATATTTTTTAGCATAAAACATTTTTGTATGGTTGCAGAATGTTGCAAATATAACATGTCTTTTCATTAGGAGTTAGTGTTATTGCAGTCTCCCTTGAAAATATTGCTTTGTTTCTGGATTTAGGGCCTTCATGGTGAATACTGTGCTAGAAAGGGCTCTTGATCAAGGATTTAGTGTCCTGTCCATCCTCGATCAATCCCATTGCATCCCATTTCCCAAATGCTGTATAACCTCTGTAAAATGCTTAATTATCATAGTATTGTACAGAATAAAAGTCACAGTAGGTGGAACAATTATTTTTTTTTTTCAACAAGTCAGCCGTCTCCCACCGAGGCAAAAAATAAAAGTCACAGTACGTGGAACAATTAATATTGTACAGAAATAAGTCACAGTAGGTGGAACAATTCACTGAAGACCTGCAGTTGGGAGAGAAACTTTATGATGACCTTTTAGTCCATGCTGGACCACTGTCAAGTCAACTTACATATCAGTGGTCCAGAATAGACCACTATCAAGTCAACTTATCAATGGTCCATCATGAACCAAAAACTTGTCATAAAGTTTCTCTGTTCAGTACATGTTTTTGGTGAATAATACTGTACCTCTCACCCTAATATGAGTTTCAACACTATCTACTGTAATTTGTATTGTACATACTGTAGGCCTCTGATCAGTATGGTTTGTGGACTAACACAGATGACCTTAGGGCTGTTATGTAGTTACTGGGTATATTACTCGTTACCAGCGATCAGTGTGGTGTGGGGTACTAACGAAAGTATACAATATTAGATCTGTTACCAGTGATCAGTGTAGTATGGGGTACCTGTTACACAGTTGTATTACATGTTAGCAGTGATCAATGTGGTGTAGGGTACTAACTAGGGATTATTGTAGATCTATTACTATTGATCAATGAAGTGTGGGGGTACCTGGCACATAGTTGTATTACATGGTACTATTGTAGTGTTGGGTACCTGTCACCAGGTTGTATTAAATGGTTCCAATGTAATATGGGGTACCTGTCACATGGTTGTATTACATGCTACCAGTGGTCAATGTGGTGTGGGGTTCTAACAAAAGAACGCAATATTATTGTATTTTCCGCCATATAAAACACGCTTTTTTTTTTTCCCCCACAAAAAGACTTGAAAAATCAGCCTTCATCTTATTTGCTCAAGGTCAGGGTCATGGGTAGGCTTTGTGTTACACTTTAGCAGTTGTTTACTAACATTACGTTACAACTGCTTGGAAACATCGTCTTACATGATCATGTGCTTTATATGCCACACAATACAGTAGTTCTGATGCTTGGTTGCATAGCATGTGATCAGTGCAGAGATGGTACCTACATTTGATATGCTTCAAAACATATTTTGAGACCTGTTCAGTATTACTCACTGCCCAATAGTTGTTAGTCTTGTGAAATGAATGATGATATTGCAATCATTTTTTTTTTTTTTTTTTTTGAGAGAGAGAGAGAAAATGAGGGGAAAAAGGTAAGTGGAGCACTTAGGAATCTGTGGAGACAAAGAACTTTGTCCATGGAAGTAAAGAAGGGAATGTAAGAGAGTATAGTTATACCAACGCTCTTATATGGGTGTGAAACATGGGTGGTAAATGTTGCAACAAGAAGGCTGGAGGCAGTGGAGATGTCATATTGAGAGCAATGTGTGGTGTGAATGTAATGCAGGGAATTCGTAGTTTGGAAATTAGGAGGAGGTGCGGGATTACCAAAACTATTATCTAGAGGGCTGAGGAGGGGTTGTTGAGGTGGTTCGGACATGTAGGAAGGGTGGAAGGAAATAAAATGACTTCAAGAGTGTATAAATCAGTAGTGGAGGGAAGGTGGGGTAGGGGTTGGCCTAGGAAAGGTTGGAGGGAGGGGATAAATGAGGTTTTGTGTGCGAGGGGCTTGGACTTCCAGCAAGCATGTGTGAGTGTGTTAGATAGGAGCGAATGGAAACAAATGGTTTTTAGGACTTGACGTGCTGTTGGAGTGTGAGCAAAGTAACATTTATGAAGGGGTTCAGGGAAACCGGCAGGCCGGACTTGAGTCCTGGAGATGGGAAGTACAGTGTCTGCACTCTGAAGGACGGGTGTTAATGTTCCAGTTTTATTCAAATTCAAATTTTTATTTCTTTGCACAATTTGCAGTGTGTGACTTACATGTTATAAGGAGACTATTTCCATGAATAGATTACAATGTGTAATTTCAATATTGATTTGCAAGTGCAAGGAAAGCCACTGTCATGCCAAGGCATTTCAGGCAGACTAAACCTACACTACATAAATGTAGTGTAAGCATGCCTCTGGCAAGACGGTGATGGAGTGAATGATGATGAAAGTTTTTCTTTTTCGGGCCACCCTGCCTTGGTGGGAGACGGCCAATGTATTAATAAAATAAAATAATAAAAAATGTCATGTTTCTTATTGAATGGGAGTTAGATCTGCAACTTGAGATGCATAATGTTAAATGATTTTTTTTTTTGCATTTATATCAGCAGATAGGTTAGTAGAAAGCAACAATGAAGAGAAGTACTGTCTTCCTGTCATAGTGTGGAACATGGGTAGTAGGTTGTTAGACAGCAACTATCCAGGGAGGTACTACCCTCCTGTCATATGAGTGAGAAAAATAGGTAGTAGGTTGGTAGATAGCAACCATCCACTGAGGTACTACCCTCCTGTAATACCAGTGTGAAACAGGTAGTAGGTTGGTAGACAGCAACTATCCAGGGAGGTACTACCCTCCTGTCATATTAGTGAGAAACATAGGTAGTAGGTTGGTAGATAGCAACCATCCACTGAGGTACTACCCTCCTGTAATACCAGTGTGAAACAGGTAGTAGGTTGGTAGACAGCAACTATCCAGGGAGGTACTACCCTCCTGTCATATTAGTGAGAAACATAGGTAGTAGGTTGGTAGACAGCAACTATCCAGGGAGGTACTACCCTCCTGTCATGAGTGAAAAATAGGTAGTAAGTTGGTAGACAACAACCATCCAGGGAGGTACTACCATATGTCATACCAGTGTGTAACATAGGTAGGAGGTTAGTAAACAACAACCATCCAGGGAGGTACTACCATCTGTTA